TTTGTAATAAATAAGTGTTGTCATTCCTAAAATATCCTTGCTAATTAAATGTATTAGTTAGAACTATTATTATTAGAAGGATTATCTTGGAAAAAAATACATAAATATGAGAGATAAAATGGACTGGAGTCTTATAATTAGGACCAAACAAAAAGTCAAACGGAATCTTATATTAAGGACCGGAGGTAATAGTTTGAAATTGGGAAAATGCGAAGTGGCGTTGACTTGTGGCCAGAAAGGTGGGAGTGGGGCGCAACAGTGAAGACAAAAGAAAAGAGATGATGAAACAGGAGAAGCCGAGAAGGGTTGACGAGGCAGCAGGCCTGCGCATGATTTGAGTTCGTATAATATGCCCACACACCAAGTCACCAACCCCTCTGCTTACCTTTACTCTTTTTTTCTTCTTGGCTTGTAATAGCAAGACTATTGGAGTAAATTTATATGAAGCATTGCGGAGTACTAAATAAAGTTACTCTTTTTAATAATGATTTGAATTGAATTTTCAGGAGTGTTTGCCACGCCTAAAAAATGCTTTAAAAACATACTCCTCCGGTCCTAATTATAAGACCCAATTGACTTATTTGAGGAGATTAAGGAAGTAGGTTAAGTTGGTTATTTATAATAAATAAGTGTTGTCATTCTTAAAATATCCTTACTAATTAAGTATATTGGCTAAAACTATCATTATTAGAAGGATTATCTTGAAAAAAAAAATGTATAAATATAAGAAACAAAATGGATTGGGTCTTATAATTAGGACCAAATAAAAAATCAAATTGGGTCTTATAATAAGGACCGGAGGAGTATTTTCTTCCAAATTGACAAACGAGATTAATTCGGATCGAGTCATGTTAGGACCTATATAGGTGGTGATCCTACCATTTACGTTGTTGTGTTCCCAAAAGATTGAACTCATAACCTTTGATTATCAACTTCTACCTGTTCATCTAAACGCTCCATACTCTTTGGTTCCTTACCTTTACTTAAGGAGCTGACGTTGGGTGTTGAGAAATGGATTGGGCCCAAAACTCTACGAGCAGGCCCATCTAACCCAGACACTCATGGGCTCTTGTCGCTTCGGGGAGAAATCTGGGAGTAGGGACTTATGACCCTTCTTAATCTTTTATTTGAACATCATACCACACTGCACTGAATACCCCCCACAGGACCAGGAATTATGACCCTTCGATCACCAGCCAAATTCACGACTAACCTCTCTCGAGTCTCAGTTGCCTAGGTTCTTCCGTTGGCCAATAAACAAATTACTGAGGTTCTTCCTTTTTTGACCGGGCAATTACTGAAGTTGATAAACTGTTTAAAAAAAGAAAAGCAAGCGGGGAATGAACTGGGATTGGGCTCCTAATAAGAGTTGGGTTTAACGGAAACGTCTGGTCCTTCATAACGTGACGAACTAAAGTTCAAATCATTATTAAAAAAGATACCTTGTTACCAAAAAAAAAAGAGATACTTATATTTAGTGCTTTATAGTGTCTCGAATAAAATTGTTTCTAATAAAAGGGCACCTATGCACAACAGCCAAAAAATTTGGATTGGGCTTATAATGCTACAAGCCGGCCCAGTTCCCAGTACTCGGCCCGAAATCCAACATAAACACTCATGGGTTGAAGTGACCCACTGCTATTCCAAATCTTTTATGTTATACGAAATATTAAATACCTGAACAAAAATTGTCTTCACAGATCCCTCTTTCTTTTTTTTTCTTTCAATAAAAGAAGTCATTAGAATTTTAAACACATAAGGTGCGACATTTCTAGAGGTACAACCACACAAAATAGCAAAGGAAACGAATCCTGGGCACTATTTACACAATCCTAGTTTTCAGCGATATATTCATTAATGTTACCTGGCATACTTGTTGATGTTTAAGATTCTAAGGAAGGAGGAGGGCCAGCTAGGTGGATGAAAATGAAACACACTTAGTGATGTTTAATTAGGGATGATAGTATCTCATATGCCAGATTACTGTCCACCTACCAAGAAACAAGTTATAATGTGATAGTGATGGAGCATTATGCATCACCACAGCTAGCTACAGGTTCAACCTTGGACAACAACCCTACACCACACGTTCATGTTTTGTCTGCCAAATTGCCTCAAGCTAATCGGCAAATACTCGTTTTTTCTTGGCCTATGACAGGGAGCCGAGGAAGCCCAACCAGACATCTATTGAGAGCAAAAAGTTGCAAGTGTATGTTTGGAAGCTGATGTAACGAGAAACAGAGATTGGACAAAGGGTGTGACCTTGTGGGGCAGTGGCATGCCAAGAGGAAGGAATAGTTTTTTCAAAGCTGGAGTTGATGATTTGTTTGGATATTGGGAGGCAGTAGGGTAGGGATATATGTATAAGCAGATTCTGAAGGTCAATTCCTATGGCCAGCTGCCAAACAGCCATTCTCTTGAAGCCAAAAGGGACACAAAGGTAAAGGTGACATATATTAGACAAAAAGCCAAGTTCCTTGGAAACTTTTTCTCCCCCCTTTTCCCCCCCTTCCAGATTCTCAAGTTTGCTCTCTGCAATAAGCTTATAATCTAAACGAATCTTGTTAGGCCCCCACCCCCACCCACTTTTTCTTGTACCTCATATATTACAGAATCATATGTACATGCCCATTAATTTTTCCCCCCCCTTTTCACATGGTATTATTGATTGAGCTAAGCATCAACGGAAACCAACTGTCTTGAGTCTGACATTATTATCTGCAAACGGAACATGATCATAACATAAGAGCAACTAAGTCTTTGTATGTATTTTAACCTTACGGAATTAATCTGGAGACAGTGAACATGTATGTATAAATAATATTATGAATGGAGAAGAAATAAGATCGGAGGGTTTAGAGTATATATATATTTGTTGGAGGGAGAAAGGCAGAAGAAGTGGTGAGTACTGAATTTGCAAAGAGTGGGTGAAATGACCCACAAACAAAAGAGGGGTTTGAAGCATACAAGTCGACAAAAGGAACTGAAATTAAAAGTGTCATCGTCAAATGTGAAACTTGTGAAACTAAACGATTAACACAAATTGATGCTCATGTTTTTACGTTTCATTATATAAATCTCTAACAACAACACAGTTAAATTTTACAAGTAAATATACCTCCAGTTTGTTCTTTGAAACAGAAAATTTTAAAAAAAAAAAAAAGTCAAAAGCTTTGATTTTTTGGTGGGGGCAAAATCGATCTTTATATATGGATTATCATTCCATTTTTTGTTATTTTCAAGGTTTTCTAGTGGGGGATGAGTCTAAACTTTGCAAAAATATAGAGTATTTCAGATGATATACGACAAACTCTTTTCCCCACAAATTTTCAAATTGAAAAAAAAAAAGCATTATCTTCTCTTCTAAACTCAAAATATGCACCACTAAAATAACCTCCTTATAAATTGCACTCACATTTATATAATTGATTAAACTATTTTCATATTGTCTATTTATTAAAATAATAATAAAAAGAACTCGTGTAAGTTAATGCAAAGGTCTATAAAAAATACTTTAGTATACATTTAACAAAGTGGACCACAGCAGAACTGAAGCATGCATATTACTCCATGTTTGTCCTCAGACTAATAATCATCAAACATCCCAAGCATGCAACATTAAAGCTGCCCCTAAAGTTACCTACTTTGCCAGTTATTATATAGTTATATATATACACACAGACATTATTTATAGCCGCTGAATTCGTCGTTAATTCATCATCAACCCGAATTCTGAAATGCAAAAATTCGATCCATGTTTTTCCAGACAGCGCAGAGATTATTCTGCGAATCCTATGTAAAGATTCTGAGAAAAATTACATATATTGAACGCACACGCTTCTGTATATAGATATTTATGCTACCCATCATAAATACACACATCCATTCTGACTCCGATAATTGGAGAACAAGGAGGAAAATTTAATATCAGATCAGACTTCTTGTCCATTTTATAGACCATCTTAATTGGATTTTTTTTAAGTGAATAATTTGGATTTTATATTTCCCTTCTCTCTCTCTCTCTCTCTCTATCTGTGTATATATAAATATACAGGAAAATATTAAAAGTTATCCAAATTTATATAAGTCGACAGTAAAATGAAATCTCTAGAACAATCCCTTTTAAATCCTATGACGAGGGGACTCCATCAATCAACAATCAACATGATAGTTTCAAATGGAAACTCAAAAAAAGTTACGAAATGCTTTTTGTGGAGAAAAACTGCATTTATAATTAAGCGAAAACTATATATATATATACCATTCAGTGATCATATATTTTAACTGGTCGCCTCGCAGCAGTTAAAAATGTACATATAGTAATTAAGAAGTCATTAATAAAAATCTTTTTAACATAATCTAGATTGAAGAGAGAGAGAGAGGTTGAGAAATAAAGTATATATAATAGCTAGAGAAGGATCTAAACAAATCAGGAGAAGAATGTAGGGAGAAAATAAAGGCTGTGAAGAGTGATTAGAATGCATGAGGAGTCAAAAGCATTCAAAAGGACGAAGACTATATATATATACACATAGCTGCTAAACGAAATTCAGTTGGCGGGGGTGGAAGTAGCAGAAGGAAAAGAAGTGAGAAAGATCCAAAGACAAGAGAAAGGTGCTGCATGGAAACGCATGTAGAACGGAAAATGCAGCTCATAATAACACAGCCAGCCATGTGATTTCTAAAACTGATAGTATCGACAAATTAACTAAACTAATTCAAGATCCTCTATTTTTAGCTTCATTCCCTCATCATTAAATTCTCTTAAAAACCAAGCCTTCATCTCCTTCCTCATAATATCATACTTCCTCCAAATTTGCTACTCCAATATATAACATTATATATTTATTCATACACCCTCCTTACCCTTGAACCATTAATTTTTGTAAATTAAAACTGGTCATCAAGTTAAAGAACCGTTTTTGGCGAATGATGGAAATGGAATTAATTTAGTTCACCAAGTAATACCTACTCTCATGATCCCAGCAGGGAAGATGTACGTAAATACTTCATGTTTAATTCAAACACTAACACACAACCAAAAGATTAAAGTGGAATCCTTGGTTTTCCCCAACAAGAAATGAGTTGAAGAAGAATGAAACCCTAAGATAGTAGACTTAATTCTCACACAGTCTGCAACTTCTAACTTCTGGCCAAGACACCGATGGAGATCGAACATATATAATTGAGAATATTCTAGGGCTTCTTACCCACAGTGTGCTTGTTGTTGTGCATCCAAACCTTAAGAACCTGACGCTTCACTCCGACTTCGTTACAGAATTGCTGGACCAACTCTTCGTCTTGCTTCTGAATCCGCCATCCCAATCTCTCTGCAAGTTCCAGCATTTTATCCTTCTGTTCCTGCGTGAACTTCGTCCTGAACCTCTTCTTCGACGACCCTCCTCCTCCGCTTGGGTTCGAAGCGTCGTCGTCCTGCTCGTCTCTCGTGCTCTGTGTCCCGCCACCTCCTCCCGACGTAGACGGCAACGCCAGCGTCCCCGGCCCTCCCCTATGCTGCCCCGCCACGTGTAAGTACCCCGCCGGCGCTCGATAATAAGCTGCCGCGAACTGCGGTGGCTGCTGGTGGTGGTAATGGGGGGTTAACAAAAATGGTTCGGTCTCTTTGCGGTGGAAATTACGGTGGCAGTTACAGGCTGCACATTTGAGAGCGTCGAGTGTGCCTTCGGCTCCGGCCGGCATAAACTCCCCACATCCGTCAAGCGCGTGTCCCCCGAGACTCACCGCGTGGTTCTTCAAGCACTCTCTATACCTTCCCTTGCTGTTATTGTTATAATAAGTCCTCGTGGGTTGAGGAAACACCATAGCTTCTCCTGCACCGGCGGAGGTCGGCATTTTCACTCTGGGAGATATCCCCAGCGACTCCATACCCATCTCTTCTTCCTGCTCTTCTTGATCCTCAAAATCCATTTCTCCCTCCCAAAAAAAAAAAGACCCAACTTTTCCCCTCTAGAGTATGGGATAATTAAGGATAAGAAGCAATATGAGAAGAGAGAAAGGATTTTGAATATGGGCAGAGAGATAGACAAGCAGGGACTTGTATTCATATACTTTTTGCCCTTCTCTGATATCAGAAGCTCACCAACCTTGTCTTAGGGAAATCTCACCCTCCACCGGGTATATCCGGTTACGGGTTAAAATGCACAGTAATTTTCATTTTCACTAGTTGCCGAGTGATTCGTGAAGGTGTGAGTAACCAAAGAGGTGAAAACTTTCACTTAAGAAGTGTACAGTACGAATACAGTTGTACTGAGATGTGGGTGCAGCAGGGGGTTGAGCTGGAGACGAATAAGAAAAAGGAGGAAAGAGAAAAGAAAATGTATTGCCCACGCGCTGAAGGCTGAGGCAAACGCCAATGATGGACCCTTGAAACCCTGTGTGTTACTAGTGTCACGCATTCGCGTACCTGAGACGAAGTGACGTCGGATGGGACGGGGGGGTTTATGAGGTGGCGCGTGGAGTGGCGCGTTGCTTCAGTTTTGTCCCCGCATCGGGGGAACCGGTGGGGAAGCATTAGAATGTGCGGAGGCAGAGCCCTGCTTCTGGATGTACTCATCACATTGTGCTTTTAGTATTGTGACTTGTGTGATTTTAGATAAATATTAGTCTGTTGTGCATATATAATTTTTTCAAAAAAAACTTATTCTGAAGTTAGAAATTTTCCTAGAAATAAGTATGTACCGAGAGTGCCTGTGCCATTGGTTGCATGTTACTTCTCTGATTCTATTTACAGGAAGGTGTGTTTGTTCTATTTATAAAGGTGAGAGAAAAATTTTTATATCAATATATAATTTTATTTTTTATTTATTAGTGTTAACTTTATTCCCATAATATTTTAAACAAAACATGTTATATTACAAAAAGTCCCTCTAATTTTGCTTTCTCAGCACTGTTGGTCCCTGTACGAGAATTAGCGTTAAGAAAAGCTAAGAAATTTAACTAAGAAAAAACACACATATATTAAAATAAAAATTGAGAGAAGGTATAAATACCTGCGTGATAATTTTTGCTGTTATAAGAGATGCTAACATTTATTGTAATAAGAACTGGAGGGAGAAAAATATATGGAGTGTTTTTATTTATCTGTAAACCCTTCATGATTCAGGAAGAGCAACTCAGGAACTTGTTAAGATGAGATGCTCAACGTTCAAAATAATGTTCAATCCTAATCCAATAACACTAAGTACCAAATACCATGCTTTCATTTTCAATATTATGCTCTCAAAACAGTACTTGATTATTTCTGGTAATTCTACAATTTTGGGAGGCAAATAAAGATCTGAGGCAGATAGGAGTAATTTCTTTAAAATTAAAAACCATGTGATTATAAGCCTTTTTTTATAATGAGGAAACTAAAGTACCTAGCAGATTTTTTGTGCTATGTAAATAAAATAAATAATTGATTGATAAGAAAACAAAAATAATTTGGTATGAAAATGCAGATAAATAATACGGGTCAAAAAAGGAGCAGGGGTAACATGGAGCGTGGGAGAGGGGAGAGTGTGTCATGGAACGCGGCAGTAGCGGAGGTTGTCGTTAGTTATAGTTGCCCATCACGACAGGCGCCCAGCAAGCGATTTACTACCTCTGATTTTAATATAAGATTTTATTTAACTTTTATTTTGATTTTAAATATAAGATCTCAATCCATTTTGTTTCTCATATTTATACATTTTTTTTCAAAGTAGTCCTTTTAACAATGGTAGTTCTAGTCAATACACTTGATTAGCAAGAATATTTTAGGAAAGACAACACCTATTTAGGACAAATAATTAATTTAACTTACTTCCTCAATCTCCTCAAATTAGTTAACCGGCTCTTATAATTAGGATCGGAGGTAGTATTATAAGTACAACCCTCCACCTTCTATTTTAATTTTTTAGGTTCAATTGTAAATACTCTTTCAAGTTTGTTATCTACATGCACGTCATACACTTATGGAGTGTTTGGATAAAAACTAAATTATAGTTTCAAAAATGATTTTATAATATACGAAGTAAATATGGAAAGAAATTTATTTTAATTTATAAAAAAATACCTTTAAAAAATACTTTAATGATATTCAAAGACTCTCTAAAACAGCTAGAATCCTTTCCACTAGATCTAACATCTATTGGTAGCATAACCTCACTTTTAAATTTCTCCAAATATATTACAATCCAGTTAGGCATCTATCTAAATCTCTTTCATGTCTATTGAATTGCCAAATCCTGATACCTTCGAAGCCGACTTCTTTGACAATTGTATTCTTCAATCCTCATCAAACACTGCTTCATCAAATATATCTAGCTATATATATATATATATATATATATATAGTTACATCATTCATAATAAACGAATAATATTAGAGTATTAGCATCTGTCGTCTCAAATTCAAGTTATATATCACTCTTGGTTCTAATTATAAGACTTCATTTATAAACTATAAACGAGATTTTATAATTAAAACCGGAGGTAGTATACAACTAGATCCTGATAGAGAAATCTCTATTGTTCACGACTCTATAAATGGACAAATAGTTGATAACATTACAAGGTGAAATTGTTTTACACACTGTTTGCTACAGGATATACTAGTTACCCATGAGACATTTTTCAGCCACGCACTAATAATATTGGGGACAAATTAATTCAAACAGCTGGACTACATGTTTTAAAATAATATACTTTTAATTTTATTCTTAAAAAAATCATGGTAGACTTCGCGCATTATATATATGTATAAGGTGTAGAAAAATATAGTGAAGAGAAGGGGAAAAAAATGCATGAAACCGAATAAAATATGTGAAGAAATAATGAACATATAAAAATAAATATCTTATATTTCAAAAATGAGCTGTGCACTAAAATGATAACTTATATAAAAATAAATAAAAAAATTCCTGAACCACAAGAGCTGATTATGAAGAACCCCATATATAGTGTGTTCCCGTGACAAGCTTGATATAAGTGATGAGTCAGTTTGCATATTTATTCGCTTTTTTCAAAAACATGATTCACAATTCACAATCTAGTTCTGCAAGTGAAGATTCAATAAAAAAAAAATTTGGCCAAAAAAAAAATAAATAAATAAAACTACTATAATTTGGTCAGCTTTTATTTTTCTTTCAAGTTTTGTTTACCAACAATAAATACTTTGGATCACATCTACCTTAATTTTCTAAATCAGAAAATGTCCCTAAGCTAACATGCCTTGCGGATTTTGCTCATTGTGTCCAGTTTTAGCTATAATTAACTAGACATTATCATTTTGTCAATGTATTGTAAATTTTATCTAATTTCATCACCTACAAATTAAATCATTCAACCACCTTTGAAAAACTAACAATCGGAGAATTAGAAGGAGCTTTCGATCATGATATGAACAAGAAATTCGCCTGATATTCTCATCTTTAACGAAGACCAGAACCTTGTTTTGTTCTTCAAAAGTGAAGATTTTTCCCACTCTCAAATGAATCTCAAAATATAATTTTGATAACATTCCCCCTAAAAAAAAACTCCTGTACGCATAATTACTCTTTTGTCATTAAATACGACAAGCATGTGACACTGATTAGGATGTTCCATTTATAATCCGCGTGACACTTAATTTTCCTAAACGTATTTATTTTGTTCACCCTCGGCTTCAACATTTGTTTTCAAAATCAACAGCATTATTGACTACTACTCGTCATCTAATTAGTTTATTCAGCTTTGACTATATGGTTGCAATAGCAAAGGAAAATGGGCAAGAAATCGTTTGTTTGTTGCCACAAGCCATAATTTTCTTTTGTCATTTTCTCTTATATTCAATGATGGAGGGAGAGGGGCATTCATGGAAGTCCTGCCCATGACTCCTCAAGTTCTCAATTTTTTTCAGTACACGTACAGTTGTTATGCACAATATAATCTTCATAAAAATATACATATTATACTACCTTTGATTCTTAATATAAGAATTAGTTGAAAATTTTGAGTAAATTAAAAAAATTAGTTAAATTGGTTATTTATAATAAATAGGTTTTGTCTTCTCCAAAATACCCTTACTAGTTATGTGTGTTAGTTAAAACTATTACGTGATGAAATATTTAACATGTACAATTATTACAAGGACTATCTTCAGAAAAATAGATAAATATAATAGATAAAATGAATTGGAGTCTTATATTTAAAATCAAATTAAAACCAAATTAATTCTTATGTTAAGAATTGGAGGTATTATATGTTTTTAAATCCCAGTCACCTTTGTACTTAAACCGTAGCTTCAATGCTGACATTTTGTACATCAATTTTGACAAGGCCCATATTTTTTTATTGCATAACTCTCAAATATGGCTATGAAGCCTCCCTCCCTTTCTCATCTTTCTTAAGATAACGATCTGACTCCATCAGATTTGAGTATTGTTCGGCCTAATTGGAAGTGGCTCTTTTAAATATCTATTCTACATTCATACACATACTCAAACTCAAGACTCCGTACTTAAACGGCCAAAACCTCTTCTACGAGACCAACATGCGCTGGCTGGTTCCCTCTCCTTGATCTCTCTCTTATTAAACCAAATTGACAGAAGGAAAAATTCTTGATTACGAGCGTACACATCATGTATACATGAACATTAATTAAGGTTACATTTGCAGCGTGAAGCCTAGTACGTAAAGGATCGCTTATTAATAAACTCAGACTCATTCCTGATCACTGTATGCTAAGACAGATATACGCGAATCAAAATCGTCTCGTATGACCCCGTAAGTGAGAGAAGGACAGAGAAAGAAAAAGAAAAAGAAGAGGGATGTGAATATATCCAATCCCCTTTTCCTCTCTTTTATAAAGAGAAACAAAATCCAAGGTTACATAGACAGATATAATCTTAATTGTCGGGTGTACCTGGAAAGGGATGGATAAACCCAAGAAAATGAACTAACTAAAACGGAACAGAAGGAGGAAAGCAAAACGGGGACGGGGGGTAGAAAAAGCGAAGTCCGTTGAGATTTCAGTGTAGATATCTGAGAGAGGGAATTGCGGGGAAAAGGGCAGTGGATGGTGACAAGACGAGAATGGGAGTGGGACGAGTCTCATTTCCATTCCCATAATAATATGTTTGGTTCTTTCTTCTCTTTTTCCCAGGGGGGGGCCCCACATTAACCAGCTTGCTTCTCGCACCACCACTTCACAGATGATAATATATCACACACCAAAACCTACTATATTCCACAAAAAACGTCCATCTCCTTTGTTTTCTTTCGCTTGTTTCTTTGTTCATGTTCTGATGTGTGCCTCATTTGTGTATATGTATGTATATGCCTCCTAGCCAGCTTCTGCAGAATCATCACATCAGATTCTACTGCTTTCTGCTTATTTTACGTACTCAAGCACATGTCATGCGCATGCATACGTGTTCTCTCTCTCTCTCTCTCTCTCTCACTCAATCTCTTTCACAAATTTGGATTACGTTTCTGCATATGGATGCACAAAAGAAAGAACCCTGCATAAGTTACAACACTGAGATCGATGGGTCTGATTTATAATCTACACATAAGGACCACAACTACTGCTTTGGTTGACGTTAGGGCTCAGACATATAATAAGGATCTATTCATCATTACTTTTGTGGATCCTTTTTTTTTGTTTTGGCTCTTTCTTGTAATGTAGGTGTTAGAAAGTTTATATATCAAGCAGCGGATGTGACATTTTCTTTCCCCCCTCTCAATTCTCATGATCTCTGTTACAATGGGACTGTGCAAAGAAAAAAAAAGCCTTGGAAAATAACCTTTCGAGAATTAGGGCCAAGCACATATATAGAGTGAAAGTGATGGTGGAAAAGACAATACCATACTGTATGAAAATAAGCCATTTGCAAATGTTGTTGGCACGTGGGATGAAGGCTGAAAAGGAAGGAAGAAATTTTTCCCGGGGGGGGGGGGGGAAGAAATGGTTGGTTGGGGATATAATATATCTAGCTACTACCCAGTATAGTTCTTAGATTATCATCATTTACATTACAAGGAAACTCATTCACGTTTCATATAAGATTTATAATGAGTCGGATGTTTATGAACTACGAATAGTCTGATTTTTTTTACAAGTTTTATATTATACTATCTCCGATCCTAATTATAAGATCTCATTTATAGTTTACAAATGAAGTTTTATAAATAAAACCAGAGGCAGCATATACATTGACATATTTATAATATTAATGTTATATATGAACATGACTCTCTCTCTCTCTGTTGGATTTGTATATGAAAAAAATTTGATACTATATTTGGAGCGACAATGTTAAATGATTTGCTCCACTACCATTGAATGTGAATAAAAGAGACATTTCTTTAGGTTACTATTCAACAGTTCTTGCGTGCAATTCAAAAGCAAAGCTCTTACCCTTCTCCCAACGCATCATCATCATCATCGATCATCACCAACGTCAACATCTTGGATTTATAAAAAAAAAAAAGTTTATGACAATTGCATCATCGTGTCCCTATGACTAGATTAATACTATGTAACTAAATTTAATTAATGTGTAATGTGTGTGTGAGATAATGCCACAAAGGTTCGACGATAATTATAATAAATATATATATAAATAACATACTCCCATGGTGCATGATGGTGAAGCGTACGCGACGGTTGGTAAGGGAACAATTACATAGCTAGTGACTAGTCTGGGGATTACCCAAGCAGTTATATATAGGCTAACTTTGATGTTCTTTAATGAATAATGAGTGCTTTTGTTGAGGGATTTGGAATACAAACGTGTGCTTTAATGAAAACCTATTAAAGATGGCGTTTTCCTCATGATAAGCCTCATGACCCCTACCTAGTATGGGGTTGGCAATACAGAATAATTGTGTTCATCGTCACTTAAGGAATTGAGCTATGACCCCTACTATATGTGGTCTACTCTTCACACACACACAAGTTGACTATGGTCAAATTGAAGGATTACTCCCGTTTGATTCGAAGAAAAATAAAAAATAAAAAAAACTTTATAGGGTTTTCTGTTTTTATTAATTTATTATTTTCTCACAATTTATCTCTGTAAGTTTAACCCATTATTTGTATTACTAGAGTGATCAAGTAGCTAGGAATGATTTAGAGCAGTTATTAGCTCCCGGAGATATGTTAAATTTAATAATCTTTAAGAAAAAGAAAAGGATGCCCTCCTGGAGGGCTTCTAAGGAAAGCCATAAAATTAATATGCTGCATACAACTAACAAGGATTCTAAAAATTTCAAAACTGCCGGCTCTAATTACTGAATTAAAATATATGGTCAGGGCCCAGAAATGATTGCATCGTTAGACAAGAAACTAGGGCTATAGAAGAATATAGGGAATTTATGATGCCCTGCAAAGTTTAAGGACTTAGAAAGTTGGTAAAGAGCACCGACATGCCCATAGGACGAAGTTGGTTGGATTGAGGATAAAGTAAACTACAATGCTCATTCGAGATATATATATATATATATATATATATATTATATGAACAGAAGAAGGAACAGTGGAATTGCATACTTTTGGTGTCTGACTTGAACAACCATAATAATAATAACAATAACTGCAACAAACAACAATGAAAACGATCTGGTTTAAATGGTTTCTTACTGCTGTATTGTGTACGATACAATTCTAATCTTACAGTTCCACGTAGAGTCAGATAGTGGACGACGAAATGTTTACTGTTGACTCGTAAGCATGCTCTGATGATCCATCATTTCATCATCTAAATCGGAAAACCAAAGTAACAGAAAAAGAAATTTTGCTGTCCGATACATATAAAGAAGTAATAAAGTATATATCACTGAATTGATAGGTGGCTTTTCTTTCTTTATGAGCAAACGAATTGATAGGTAGCTAAACTGCGTGATTTTAACAGTTTCCCATGGCGGACAAATCATGACCTTCCCTAATAACTATCATTTCAGCTTTGGTTTCAGTTAAAGAAGTTGTAAAGTGCAGATTAAGAAGTCACAGTCCTGCGGCGGGTCGGTAATAAAATGTATGAAAGATAATACTACCTCCGGTCCTTAATATAAGATCCCGTTTGACTTTTAGTTTGGTCCTAATTATAAGACCCCAATCCATTTTGTCTCTCATATTTATGCATTTTTTCCCAAGATAGTCCTTCTAATAATGATAGCTCTAGCCAACACACTTAATTAGCAAGGATATTTTAGGAATGACAACACTTATTTGTTACAAACAACTAACTTAACTTACTTCCTTAATCTCCTCAAATTAGTCAACTGGGTCTTATAATTAGGACCGGAGGTAGTAATTAAGTAGGCCATTTGAGCTTGCTTCATATATATTAAGTTGGATCAAAATTAAGAATCTACGTTTGAATCTATTGAGGAATAAATTATGTAAGATTTAACCCTAACATTTACCAATAGATCTAATTAAAGCCATAACCACATAACTTAATCTCACACGTTAACCTTTGTCTTCCATCTCAGGCCATTGTTGGAGATGAAGGTCCACCTCATCATCATATCGGTTATTGGCCATGTCCCAAATTTGAGAAGGTCATATACATATTATGATTAGGTCAGTATAGTGCTACTGTGCCAAGGCATTAACTCTAGCATAGGGTTTGGTTTAATTTCCACACTTTCGCCTTAAGACACTGGAAAGAGACTTTACAGGTTTGGAATGATTCATTACTGACCCACTTAGAAATTGTGGGTTTCTTTGACTTAATAATCACTGCCCTCTTGATTGCTTCCGGAGAATTAGATATCCTTTTTGACATTTGTGAGACTAATGATTCTATCATTAACAGTTAATGGTGCCAATGCCAAGTCAGTTCCAAGAGCACTTTTACCGTTCTTGGTATATGTTATAGTAATTATTCTTTCATCGTTTTTAGGAATATGGTAACTATCAGTCCTTGAAATTTTATTATTCTCTGCATTTGGGTGAGACTTGAAAAGTGTCCTCATGTTAAATGTTAAGCCCCCTTTTGTACGCACATGAAAAATTATAACATCCCATTCCCATAAAAATGAAATAAGCACTAATTGTTATATACTCCCTCCGTCTTTGGGGGAAAAAAATTGTATTTGCTACATATTAATTACTTTTAACTAATTTTAACTATTTTCTTAAACCACACAATTTAATTAAAAAGATCTTATAATAAGGGACAGAGTAGTCTATTTATAGCCATTATTTAACAGTATTTTTGTGATTAATTTTTATCTCGAGACATGACAGATATTTTGCATATGTAATTTCTAATATATGTAGCTGCTGATATTAAAGATGATAATTTAGATTTTAACCATAAGATCACTGAATTAGTGGTTTTATAGATCTTCTAGCTGCATATTGACTTCTTTTTTATACATCAACTAAGAAATAGCTATACACAGTAAAACCCAAATTACGTGAATTTAGGCAAAGAACTTCCCAGTGCTGCAAAACCAGATCCCTTATAGCGTGGAAGAGACTGCAAGGAAACGAAATGAATATAATTTTTTTTCTGAACTATTCTATACATAATGCATATCCTCGAATGTTGTATATATGAATACTATATACAATTAATTCGTACAAAGAAAATTGCAAAACAATTTTCAATCAGCGCGATAATTTTATGTTCAACTGCTCCAAGGCTAGAAACATAAACTCTTCCCTTACAAGTGCACAACACATACAGATAAATAAATATATATAGGCACACGTGGAGTTAAAAGTGCTGCCTGGATTCACAGAGCTATATGCTACTGGTCAGGTTGTGGGTCACTGGATTGAAAAACTTCTTTGAGGCACTCCACAGCACCATCGTAGTCAAAGAAGCCCATGAACCAAAATTCCTCATTGTCGACTGAGACTAGATGGATGTACTTTTCGGCTGGATTGTGTCTGTTTGATGATGGAAACACTGCTTTAAGCTCATGTAATGGGATGATAACCTACATCCATTACAAGTCAGCAAATAATATACATATCATCAAGCGAAAGAAAAACAAAATAAGATTGAAGAATGCTCTTGGCCGATCAAATTGAACAAAAAAGGGTAAACTTTGTTGAGTCAACAAAGCATGCATAATTCTTAATGCCCCATGAGCAGAAAATCATAAGAGATGCTGCTTTTTTTTAAGCATCTCTTATAGAAACAGAGAAAACGCTCATTAGAAGTCGAGACAAAGGAAAATTCTGAATGAAAGGATTCCTTCATTGAAGAGAAAACAAAGCCTCCCCTTCAGATGCATGTGTCCTTCCACACTGAACATAATATGCAGACAAGACAACTCCTTTTGAATATGAATTACAGCTTACCAAGTATATATGTCTTACCACCTTAAATGATTGGGATATTACTTTTATTAATTCAATTTCTGCTCAACGCATATTCCCCCTCTAGCTATAACCAAGATCTGTCTTTTCTGCGAATATCTATAATAAAATTCTTAGACAGATGGAAACCGCGACTGTCGTTCTCACATTAAACACAGGCAAATGACTTGCTCCAGCCCCAGGTTCTAACATCACAATCAAAAGAGTAACAAAAAGAAAAGAAACTATATATGATAATTACTCCTCCAATCTTTCATACAGGACTTAATTGGAGAATTGATGTTGATTCTATACGTAAGACCTATTTTACATGTTTATCAATTTCTTTTCAAATTAACACTATTATTATATATTCCCTCAGCAATAATCTAGTAGGAGAGCGAGGGAGGAAATTAAGGAAGATGATTATAGTATTTTAGAAAAAAATATTTGATATTAATTAACTAAGTTAATTAACATCATCTTTAATTTGTTCAAATTAATTAATTAAATTTTATATTAAAGAGTGCAGGAGTAGAATAATTTCATAAGCATGCCAACAGGACATGGACATATATACATTAATAAATATGAGCACACACCTTATTACCACTTGCGAAGACGCCTTAAGAGAAAAAGGCTCCAAATATGTCACGTTAATAAAAATCATGCATGTCTCATTGTCACCTAGACCAATGATTCAGCTATGACAAACATTGCATGAAGATGAACAGAAATTTAAAAGGAAGGTGCACGTTGTTATCCTCCCACACACAATAGAAGAACTTCAACGAACTTGAGATTTAAAAGAGGATCTATTACATAAAATTATGCCTACAAAATTCTCAAGAAGTATGAACTTTTAACCTCAGCTTCAATTGAACAGGAATCCATCCTGACTAATGCTAAACATGTATAAGCTATCAGATAGACTAGGATGGATCTAGGGTATTACGTATGTACCTTGTAATGACTCCATTCTGTTTTCGTTTCATATTGATAGGCAAGAGGGTTGTCACTACAATATGCAATCTTTTCAGTGGATATATATAAAGTTCCCATTACTGGACCAACTGATGTGGATACATAACATGCATAAGCTTTCAGAACCCGTTCCCCAGGAACCGACTCAAAAGTTTGTCGGAAGATATTATCATGGCCCCCTTCTGCAAGTATCTTTGTTCCCCGGGCAATCCTTCCCACAGCAGCCTCAGTAAAACTCGGGTTTGTTCTAACTTAACACATGATGAAAAGAAGCTATTTAAGTAATATGATGTTGTAGATTCAATACCAAAGAAAACGAATAGCAGAAGATGTAGGAGCTGCATAAAATGCAATGGTGATGAAAAAAGAAATGAGGTAAAGATTGTTCTTAACAGAAACGCTGGTTGAGGTGATGACATAGTCCCGAAGGAAAAAGTGTGAGTGTTGACGGCAGAAAACAGCATCTTAGAACAGAAGTTTAATATTTCCAAAGAAAGCTGTTAAAGAGGCCTTGAACCTTTTGATCACATTATATGAGCAGCAAAAATAAAACGTAAGAACAATGTCACACCCTCACTGCATAAATTGAAGCTGTCAAAGTGATCTTTCTTAGTGGTGAAAACTATTTATATAGCATAGTGCTTCAATTTTGATGCTGCCATTTCTCAAAGAAGAAAGGAATATAATACCGTTATAATTCCATGAATATTGTTACAGCAACAGCAATAAATAAATTAATGACAGACAAAAACAAAAAGGAAGAAAACTAACAGTGAATCCAAGTGTTTTCAGCCAGAGTCTCTGCCTTCTTTGTTGCTTCTCCCACCCCCCTCCCCAGTCTTCCTAGCACATTCCGAACGGTCTCTAACTTGTCTGATTATAACAACATGAGTCATAACATATTCTTGCAAGCGCGCATTCATATTGGTATGAGATAAAAAACTGACCCTTTACCGAGAAGGAGGGCGAGGACAAAGGGGAAGAATGAAAATATCGAGGCGATTCTTGGGGAGACGCCACGAAGATGGATTCCTTAACCAATTCGGGGTTCCAATGCACAGATTTCTTAGTGACGCCACCAGACGACACGACGAGTGCCAATGATTGCCCCGTCGGAGGATGCGATGCCGATTCCTTCGCGGAACTCGTTGCGTTTCCACCTTCATTAGGTGCTTGGCCAGACTCTTCAGGAACAGAATTACCCTGTTGGGGCTCTCGAGCATTGGATTGGACGTTGGGTTGGGTTTCCTGATTCGACTGTTCCATTCTCTTTCAGATCAGAGTTGAAAAAACGATGGCGCGTAAGGGCGCTGAAATGTAACGTATAACTTAATTTGAATTTGAAGGTTTCATCATTTTCGAGATTGAAACTGAGGAAAGCGTTCGTGCATATGGCTGAGGCTAAAGAATGAAGGAAGGAATAGTCATTGAATGAAAAATGCAGAAGATGATCCTTTTTTTTAATTATTGTTTTGAAAAGAAAAGCGCGAAGAAGATGGAGACTTCGCAATTTGCATGATTCTCAGCTTCTGGTCCTGGCTCTGCATATTCTTTGCTTCAAGATAGTCGAGGGTACCTTTGTAATTTTATTCTTTTACGCGGGAGGTGTCTTCTATTTTTTTTTTTTTAAATACTCCTCCGTTACTTAATATAATCGAAGTTAGGAAATTAATTTATAAAAGTTAAAAAACTAGTTAAATTAATTAGAGTGTTTATAATGAAAGTGTTAGTTTCTTTAAAATGCTACATTTAATTTTGACCGAATAAGATGTCAACTTGAATAAAAAAAGGTTAAGTGAAAATCTAGAAATAGAAGAGAAAGGGACAGGGATCCTAAAATAAGCAACATGATTCATGTGGCTTCTGAATACTAAATTACTTAGAAGAGTCATCGTATTCATGTTTTTAAAAGAAGATAGTCTGTATAGGATTTTACCAATACAATGGAGACTTTTTCCACCTTTTTTTTATGAATATCAAATTTTATCGCCTTTCGTAATGAATTTTTTCAGGGCTGGTCGATTCAATTTTGGTGGATGGAATTTTATTTCTCTAGAAGGGGTCATGCCGTCATGGCAGCTCAAACATCACTCTCGGCCTAAAAACGAAATTTAAAAAAAAATTATTGGCAGTGGGATTTAAAGGGCTTGTGTAAGGCCCAGAAGCCCAGGTGAAGAGGGGCCCGTGAAAGGGTTTTGGAGACCCGTACACTTCAGAAACCCAAAGTCCTCTTCATGTTTTGGGATTGGTTTTGCTTCTCTCTGATGCGCTTCAGGATCCAAAATAATTGGATTATTAGAGTAATTTTGTTTTTGTTGATGAACATGTTTCTTATTCTAAATTTCATGATATAAATATTACTTATTTTAAATAATATCCCAATTATATGAAGGGCACTAGATGGAGGTAGTTAATACTTAAAATGGCGTGCTATTAAATGGAGGGCAGGGGGGGGATAATTTTTGCATGGTACATAAATTTGATTTGATATTTGTTGTTCCTTTAGATTTTTCATAAAGTAAAGTTCCTTTCAAATAACTTATTTTTTTTTCCGTTTTTATAGCAAGGAGGGCAAATATAACTTACTTTTAGACGGGAAAAAAAAGGGAGGATAAAAGTCACGGCCTTCGTTGTGGATTCACACAAGTAACCATCATCCCTCCTTTTTTGTCATTATTTTGTCTCTTTCTTAACTTCAACCGTCGACCCGTGATCGGAAATTGCTGACCGCCTTTTCTCGGACATTCCTTCTCACTTTCATCATTAATCTAACGGTCATCCTTTTTTGAGCTCTTCAGTTAATAAAAGTTTCTTTTCACATATAATAAATAAATGTGGGATATTTTTTTTGAAAGAACTGATAAAAATGAACAGATTCCATATGCACTATCACTTTTACTGTTTTACATCACATCCTCATTTTAATTTAAACGATCCATTTCACTGTAAAAGATTCATTTTTTTTTCTCAAAAAAGTTAACTTTTGTTATATGAAATAGCTGTCCCGTGATCTGAGAGCGAAGTGTCCTCATAACACCTACTCGACAGAAAATTCTAAGAAGTTGAACCTAGTGGATTTATATTACTCCTATTGATTAATATACTACTAACAGGTTTCAATAATGGCCAGCTTTTGCCAGCTCGTGTTTCATCATTGAAAGCCGAAATAAACAAACCCCCGAGTGAAGACTTTTCCCTGCATTCCAATTCCCAACACCCCAATAAACAAATGCCAGTTTGTGCTTCCCGCATCCCTGCCTCTCCCTCCCGACACGTGTCCCTCCCGAGCACGTGGCGTCCAAGCAAAGGAGGTCCCCTCTGGATCCAGCTGATCCGAGGCCCGCCTCTCATCATGTTCGCGACAGCCAAACATGCGCCATTTGGGACGACCATTTTCCATCCCTCCCTTTCCTTCCTTTTATTCTTATTTTATTCTCCCTCGCATGTTAGTTGTTCTCCATTGGCAACATTATTTATTATTTTACTTTAATTTATTAACTACCCACGAAACGGCTATATCAATTAAAAAAATACGAGTAATATAATCCCAGTTTTGTGATCGGAGGGTCGACGGAGAGAACAGAAAAGGCGAAAAGTCAAGTTAGGCTTTTATTGAGTCCAAAAAAAAAAAAAAGTTAGCCTTTTCAGCTTTCCCGAAATGACGAAGATGTCCTCATCGTCCGACCCGCGTTGACTCGATCCATGTTAATCAGATCGAACAAACAAGAACGTGTGTCTGCAGCGAGTCAGGGACAGATGCACGGCTAGGATTTGCGGGTGCTTCGCGATAATCGGAGACGAGGACCGTCAAATCAGACCATACATGTGAAAACTAGAAAGGGTCAGTGAACGCGGAATGGGTCCTGAGTTCTGACCCGTCTGAAAGCCGAGAAGGCCGGGGGTTGGACAGTAACATCCTTGATACGTCTTCAATAAAAAATAATATATGTGTTGTTATTAGTTATCATACAATAATTACTAGTAAATTCCTAAAAGATACGTGCTACCCAAGCATTTTAAAAAAATAATACACATGATTTGCTTTAATTTTATATGATATTGGGCCGTAAAACTAATGAAATTTTAACTATAAGCTACTAATGTGATCGATAACAATAATAAGCCTTATCTCACTAAGTAGGGTCGACTACATAAATCACACGATGCTATTGTGCTTTGTCAACAACCCAGTCTTTAAATATGTTGTTAATCATGAGGTATTGTTCAATGACCTCATTAAGTGTTATTCTCGGTCTTCCTCTGTCACTTTTTATGGGACTCCATACTATTTGATTCACCCTCCTCACCAAGACCTCCAACTACCTTCTCTGCATATATCCAAATCACCTTAAGCAATACTCAATTATTTTCTCTTGCATAGATGCTACGTCAATCCTTGCTCTGATATTTTTATTTCGAATATTATTTTTTCTTATATGACCACACATCTATCTCAACATCCTCATTTCTGCTACCCAACTTTATGCTCTTGTTTTTCTTTTATCGCCTAACATTTACTACCGCACAACATGACTAGTTTTATAGCAGTTTGATAAAAAATTTTCTTAAACTTCTCATATACCTTCTTATCAATAACTCTGGTAGCCTTTTTCCACTTTGAAAAAGGCTACTAATGCAATCATATGTTTAAAAAAAGTTACCGAAGCACGTTTCTCAATTTAAGAAGGGGAATATTGTATTGCCCGTTTGGAAAGTAAATTAGGCATTGGATCAAAATATACAGCATTTTATTTTGCCATAAATATAAAACCGAATATAGATGTGATTTTACGTTGAATATATGAGTTTCATCTGCTATTTTTCTCATAGAAGGGGTATTTTAATAAAAGTGATACCATTTGCATGTAATGTTAATAATAATAATAAAACGATCAACTTAATCAATTTACTTAATATTTATAGATCAGTCACATAATTTTTATGAAAAATATCAGTAAGATGTCAATGAGTTTATAGTGTAATAATATGAAAAATACTTCATAAATTAGAGATAACATTTTTTTTTTACCAGCAAATAAGAGGCCACATTGGATCTTGTAATTTCAAATTGTGAAATAATTCTTTTGTTTTTTGTAAGAATTGGTGTGGGGTCCTAAAGTGAAAGATACTCCCTCCGTTCCTTATTATAAGAGACAGATAACCGAAATACGTTGATCAAAAAAACAGTTAAAATTAGTTAAAAACAATTAATGTGTAAAAAATATAATTTGTTTTCCAAACATGCCCTCATTAATAAGGAAAGAGAATAGGAGAGAGAATAATTAAAATATTAAAAAAAAGAGAAGTGGGAGGGAGAGAGAATGTGGGTTGGAGATAATAAATATGGGTAAAATAGGAAATCAATGCAAAAAAGTAGAGACAACTTTTAAGTGTCTCTTATATATAGGAACATACCATAAACATCAAATGTCTCTTATAATAAGAAACGGAAGGAGTAATTATTAAGAAATCTAAATGAAAAGTCGAGGCCTGTTTTCATTTAATTATTTCGGAAAGTTGTCACTACATCCTGTTATTATGAAACATTCCGCGTGAATATGTTTTTCACACGAAACTTATTACAATTTTCACTATTTGTTTATTTATTAATTTTTGGAAATGATATTAGTACGATGGGGGGGTGGCGGTACACTGGGGAGGCAGAGAGAGGGACCGCTCACTGGCCGTTTGCGAACCGACACATAAGGGAACGAACAAGGAAGGGTGGTTATGGTAGTAATGTACAACCATTACAGGACAAACTGAGTACATTCACGAAATCACAACTGTGGTCATCAAGTTATATCAAGTTCGCCACATGAGTCCAACACTTCACAGGTGGCACTCTCCCATTCGACATGATTAGGTGCGGCCAGCCCACCACCCCATTCCCATCCATCTGTTCTTGCACCAAAATTCAAACACAACGGAAATATATCTACCCAAAAAAAAAAAAAAACAAAGAGGACCCGTTACACGCAGGCACCGTCCATTGATGAGTTAACCCACGTTACGAATGTGGGTTAGAAATATTCTTTGATGAAATGATAATGAGAGAACGGGTTTATTAATTTAAGCGACTCGAGGAATCTTTTTGAGCATTATTGGTTGATTAAGTCGCTTGTCTCTCTACACCCTTCCCCATCTCGCCTCTTTATATTCACTCTCTTCTCCTTTTCGTCTCCCACTCACCTCCATCCTTCTTCTTCGTCTTTCAATCTCTGTTCTCTCTGTCTCACTTTCAGATCTCGCCATGGCCTTCGCTGCTCTTCGAGTGTTCCTCATCTTGGGCCTTTTGGCTACTTCCTGCTTTGCTCAGGCCCCAGGAGCTGCTCCCGCTCAGCCCCCAGCTGCATCCCCACCGACAGCCACCACACCTCCTCCCGCCACCCCACCGCCCGCGACTCCTCCACCTGCTACTCCACCTCCCGCTGCCGCGCCTGCTCCCACCACTCCTTCACCAGTGGCTTCTCCTCCCTCAGCCACCCCTGCTGGTTCTCCGGGGCCATCCTCCGAATCACCTGCTGGCTCCCCACCCGCCCCTGCTGCTGAGGGCCCTTCAACCGGCGCTGCCGGCCCTGCTTCTGGGCCAACCGCCGGATCTACTCCACCACCCTCTGCCGCATTCTCGGTCAGCAAGGCCTTCGCCGCCGGGACTGCTTTTGTGGCTACATTTGCGGCCATGGCTGTGATTGCTTGAAGCTAGGGAAGGAAGGATTGGTTTTTCATGGGATTCGTCTGCCGCACATAGATGAGCCGTTGATATTGATATTTATGGATGGAGGGACGAGATCTGTTTGATTTTCTTCTGAGCGTTTCTTTCTATTCTTCCGATCCGTTTCATATCTATTGATTTTGAGGGTTTTACTTTTTCTTTAATGGTGTTTTTATTTGTTGGTTGGGAATTGGGTGATGATGATGATGATGATCATTGATCTGGGGATTCATATTGTTTGTGTTCACACGTGTATGTAGATGACTATCCTGATCATTTCGGTGTACATCTAATGATAGAGTATGAATAAAACAGTTTGTAATTCTTTCACTTATTGGGAGTGTATCCGTAAAACAGGCTGCTTTCTCTCCCTGTTAGAACTAACCAATTATGGTTCTCTGACCAAAATAGGATTATTGATTGTGACATTATAACATCTTGATTGTGATTTCGGCTGAAATGAGGCCGACCACTTTAGGATCTAGAAACAATCTGTCTTCAGCAAAAGAAATTGCTTCTTTTATGCGCAGATCTGCAATTGAATTTCTGGGGCAGGTGGCAGATGTAGAATGGAAAGAATGAGTATTGTAGTACTGTAAAGTGAAAGCAAGCAATTTCTTTGACGGCAACCCAACAAGTTTTTAATCTAGATATGTGATATGTGACTTGAGTTGAGCAACAATACGAGGTTAATTCGGCTTCAAGTTGTTTCCTCTTCTTTCTTTTTTTCCCACCAAAAGTTCGGCGGCGTCGAGATCAAAAGCGTATGACGAAGGTACAACGACTTTTTCCTTTCCGTATTGCTTCTTTTTTAAAAAAAGAAGGAAAAGAAAAGATCATCTAGGGGCTTTAACTTCTCTGTGTAAATGCCTTTGCCTTGGATCCTCTGACTAGGCGAAATTGGAGATCAATCTAGGCGCTTAATTTAGCTTCCCCGGTTGGATGCTTGCCACTTGTACCTTCCCTTTTCAAATTTATAAAAAAAAAAAAACACGAGCAGAGGATTGAGTTCTGCATCGAATTCTTCATAATTTTCCACTATCACTTATTTCCCATAAATTCAGTGTTAATAATAATTTATTTTTCATGATTTGTAAAATATGAGTGCTCTGGGGTTTCAAATATATAAGGCTTGGCTAAATAATTTATAGAAATCAGAGAAGACCGTTTAAGCAAGTTGTTTGTCATTATATAATATTTCAGTGTTATTAAAACAAATCCTTCGGTTCAATTGTATACACAGAGCTTGGCAAAAAAAAAATAAAAATCGCACACCTAGAGGGAAAGAAATGAATAGAAAAGGGAGGAAGGGAACAAAGAACGTGGCTTGTGGGTTAGGGTTCGGTGATCTATGCTTTGCAGTCTGCACCCCCATCGAGATTGGTTAAACCTAATCAAATTCACAAATTCGAAGCAAACAATGCTTCCCATAACTTAATTGTTTCATTTTTTTTTCCCTTTAAAAAAATATTTGTTCAGTCACGAGCTTGAAGCTCGTGGCTTCATAGACCCGCCCCCCTCTTGTATTTTTGATCTGTTGCGAGGGGGTTCTTTTTTTTTTTTTTAAATAACTTTTGTCCCATTTGTTACTGTTGTTCAGTCTGTTTGGCGTAACGTTTTGAGGGGGAAAAAAAGCTTATAGGTATAATAAGTCAGCTTATAAATTAAGGAGCTATTTCTCATAGTTTTTGGTACCGTTTGGATGTTTGCCCAAACTATGGTTTGGGTAAAAAATTGCCTAAACAGTCATCTCAAAAATCAAACCATGGTTTTGGAAAAAGCAAATTTTTTTTGCTTTTGGAGAAAAAAAGGAGAGTGCGAAAGCTTATAGGATATGTATCTTGTTATTTTTTTTATAAACATATTTTTTTATAAACATATTTAATCTTATATTTATAAATATATATACATATTAATTATTTATTAATTATATTATCTTATGTATTATTAATTATGTTTGTAAAAAATATATTATTAACAATTTTATTCCTTCAAATTAAAATATATCATAAAATCTATTTTTCTGTAATTATCATATTAACTTATGTCTTTTTTTTTAGTAATTTGTGTATATAAAAAGTACTTCTGATAACAACTATCCAAACACTCTCACTTTTCAAAATCACTTCAGAATCTATTCTTCACAGAATCTATTCTCCAGAATCACTTTTCCAAACCACGGTTTGGTTTCATCCAAACACACCCTTTGGCTAATATGATTTGTAGGTCAAAAGCTACTTTTTTAGACACAGTTACAAAAACATCTAAAAATTACTTGTGACCTATGCAAAAATAGCTTTTTAAAATTAAAAGACATTTTTACCTTATATCTATGTTGTTCTTATGTTTCTCTCTATATATTCTTTATAATTTCCAATTGGTTTTTAGTTATTTATTTTTAATATTTTAAAATAATCTTTAACAGTTGTTATAATATTTTTAATATTATTTTTATTATATATCTACATAAATTATACAAAGCACATCATCTAATTAATTGTGTAATATGATTTCGTTCAAAATTTTCATTTCTAATTTATATTTTATTAATTAAATATAAAATTTTCATACTATAGTAATTTAAAATTATTATATTTTGTAAATTCATATTTTTAATTATTTAATAAAAGTCACACTCATTTTTGTCATTCTGAAAACTAAACTTACTTATTCAATCATAATCCAAACAACTTTTTCACTTTACAAACTAACTTTTATAAAAATCAATTGAAACACAAATCAAACCACCCAATTTAATCTTTGCTCAATCTCATTTTTCTAAAAGTGAGATTGAAAATAAGTTATTTTTTCTACTACTAAGCCAAATGAACCTTTTATTCTGCAAAGTTTCCCACAATTGTGCATTATGAATCCCTCCAATTATTGGACTACATATAAGCCAAACCCCATTCCGATTTTCATTTTAATAGAGCTTGTGACGTACTACCTCCGATTTTTAATATAAGAGTTCGTTTGACTTTTAATTTGATTATAAATATAAGATTCTAATCTACTTTGTCTCGCATATTTATCTATTTTTAAAAATAATTCTCATAATAGTTACACATATTTTAAAGGTTATATCAAATACTACCTCCAGTCCTAATTATAAGACCCAGTTGACTTATTTGAGGAGATTAAGAAAGTAAGTTAAGTTAGTTATTTGTAATAAATAAGTGTTGTCATTCCTAAAATATCCTTGCTAATTAAGTGTATTGGCTAGAACTATCATTGTTAGAAGGACTATCTTGAAAAAAAATACATAAATATGAGAGACAAAATGGATTGGGATCTTATAATTAGGACCAAACAAAAAGTCAAACGGAGTCTTATATTAAGGACCGGAGGTAGTAGTAATATACATTATGAGCAATATTGTCACTAAATATTATTAATTTAATATATAATACTCAAATAGAATTTGCAGGGTCATGACCTCTCTCTCTTTCTCTGGTCCAGGCTCAACAGAGGCAGCCTTTTGAGTTTGGAATGGCCAGCCTCAACGCTTTCATGCGATCTTGCCACCTCACCAACTTTAACTGCGTCCAAGAACTTGTCTGCTGTATATGTGTTCCATTAACTGCCGGGCCACCAAGGAGATCCCCGTGAATAACACTGACCTCCAGACTTCAACTGGACCCACAAATGGATCAGCCAATATGGACCTAATAAATGCTGGCTAGATAGAATTAACTGATCAAAAGTTGAGCACTGGCCAGTGAATGTTCGGGTGGAGCCAGTAAGATAGAGATATGGGTATTTAGAAATCAAAAGCTGAAATTCTACTATTATGTTTAAAATGTAGGGTCTGTTTGGATTGGTTTCAAAAGCACTTTTCCGCAAAACGAGGTACCTCCTCCACATATTTACTTCGTAATCCGTAAAGCACTCTGAAACCATGGTTTGTTTCTATCCAACACTCTCGTAGTATGTAACTAACATACATAAAATCGGCGATGGAGGACCTGGAATTTGCGAGATTCAAGTGGCGTTTCACGCAGCTCTCACATGCATCCTGCTTCCCGTCATCAGCCGGCAGAAACACGAAGGAGAGACAACTATTGCAAGCTGGGCCACAATGGCCATTATTGTTAGGCCTCAGTAATCATCAGTCCATAAGTGCTATTTTAGGATAGGCACGTGATATGATGATCTCACCTAACAATGGTAAGGTCGATATTAGTATAAGGCAGAGGGTGGCCTTTTTTTCTCTCAACGGCATAAGTATTTTTTTTGTTCAGAGGTAAAATATTAGTGGGTACTATAACATAGGCACTTTTCTCAACCGAATAGATTTTGAATAATTAATTAAATTGTTGGGCCAATGAAGGGCCCACTTGTATCTGAAAGAAGGCATAGTTAGTAAAGCACCAATTGGCAAATACGACGGGCTTGCTTTTTATGGCCTTTAATTTGTATTCACACTGGTCCTTATTACAAGATGTCAATAAGCCCATCAATGACCTTTTTTTTTTTAAGTTTACTCTTGGTGACAAATTATCAAAATAAAATTTATTAAACAATATTCATGTAAATTATATTATTAAATAGGGGTATATTTGAAAAATTTTATAATTTTGAAACATATTTATGTCATTCATTGATTTGTGTGAATTAGGTGACAACCCTTTATGATAAGAATAAGCACTAGAGAGAGTACTAAGTTAACAAATTTCGAGGAGAGGGAGCTTTCTCAACCACAAATTAAAACTTACAAAAAAAAAAACAATAAAGATGAAGTGATCGATGGAGCAATAGTGTTAGTGCATATACATGCATCTGTATGCGTGTTCGGGGAGGGGTTGAAAGGAGGAACATGTGCATACTTAGAACAGTACTCCTCCTGTCCTTAATTATAAGACCCAATTGACTAATTTGAGAAGATTAAGAAAGTAAGTTAAGTTAGTTATTTGTAACAAATAATGTTATCATTCCTAAAATATCCTTCTAATAAGTGTATTGGTTAGAACTATCATTATTAGAAGGACTATTTGGAAAAAAATACATAAATAAAGAGACAAAATAAATTGGGGTCTTATAATTAGAACCAAATTAAAAGTCAAACGGGGTCTTATATAAGGACCGGAGGTAGTATTAAGAAGCCTTAGAAGATGGGCGGGACAAAAGAACCATCAGTTGAATGAAGCAATATATGAATTAAAATAAAAATCCATGCTTATCAACACTAATCCAAACAAAGGCGAGGATGGCTGGGTTGAGGAGACTTTTTAAAAGTATTTTTTTGTAAATTATGATAAATTTTTCATATATTTATTTTGTATAGCATAAAATCACGTTTAAAACTATA